AAAAAATAAAAAATAAATTAAAAAAATAATAATAAAACCACGTGACTCAACCTGGTTCTAAATACCACCTTCTTGTCCTTAATCCAATCTCCAGGTGCCCAGATCCTATTGGTTTCTTAGCTCTTCTGCCCTCCATGGAGTTCCCTTAAACACCTTTCCTGCTCAGTGGGCTGGCTCCCCTGTCTGCCTCTAACCACAACATCTTAGCCAATTCAGAATCTCCAAATTCAGATTAGGTTCTTCAGGTGAGCTATCGTCTCTCCCACTAAAACAAGTGAAGTTCAGTTTCCATCTGTTTGTCAGTCCCTGCATCACCTAAATTTGTCTGGGTGGGCTTTGCCAAATTTGGAAAATATATTTGAGATGACCTAAGTCCCAAAGGTTGGGTTCCCTGGGAGGCCCAGTCTGAGAAGGAAATTGGTGAGCAGGAAGGTAATTACAGAGTGCTCTTGGGATCATCACCTTAGAAGGTGAGGGAAGAAGGCAGGTTAGAGGGAGAAAAGGCCTCACATAACCCTACGGAGAGTTCCAAAGCTAAGATGCCCCTTCTCAGTGGAACCAAGCTGGACAGAGGGGTCAGGCTTTTACACTTCCATGTTGATCAGTCACTGGGTATGAGCTGCTCCTAAAAAAAGGGGTCATCTTAGGCAAGGTGGCTCTTTGAATCGAGGAGAATTCAAGAAAGCTGTAGGCCATCTTTCATAGTACTCCCAACAGATGAGGGAATAAATCCTTCATTCCTGAAGGGGACTCTTGGTCACCCATCAGTGTCCACTACTGCCCACCTTCAAATAGCAGATCCCATGGCACATGCATAATTTACTCTGTGGGGCTCTAGGAGCCATCCTCATGGAAAGACCTATCTGCAGGGTGATCATGTTGGAAGTTATATAAATGTCTAATCACTATGTTGTACACCTGAAACTAATATTACATTGTATGGCAATTGTAATTGAAAAGTAATTTTTAAAAGAGAGAGAGAAAGCAAGAAGACCCATCCTCTGATGTATAAAAAGCCCATGCCATGCTCATTAAAACGTCTGGGAAGAGGTTTCAAATATGAGCCCTGTCCCAGCCTGGCCCATCTTTGCCCTCCACCTGGGTGACTCCTGTAGGATGATTCCCTTGGCTCCTGAATCAGCTGGCTCCCAGCAGAGTTTAACCAATAGGAGATGCTGCCTGGAGCATGGAGAGTGGAAGAGAAGGGCCACGCATCTCTCCCCACCTTCTCCGTCTAGGGTAGGATGTACAGAGTTGGCCATTTCCATTTCTCCTCCATAGTGCCAGCTCCTACCAGAAGGGCCCAATCCCCTAGGCGCTCGCAAACACTACTTCCTTCCCTCGTCTCACCAGCCCCAGGATGGAAGCAGCTCCCTGCTTTCGCTCATCTCTGGGCTGCCTCCATATCTTCTGTTTCACTTCTCTGAGTCTCTCATCACATGTGTAACCAGTTCCCTAAATTCAAATCTCTCCATTCCACATTATCAGAACGGTTCTGCTTTTCTGGCTTAATCCCAACAATAAACTCCAAATCAAAAGTCTCAAGGGCAGTCACACATGCCAAATCTCAGGTGATGGTCCCTGATCTGTCATCTTCTCATGTGGACAATTCTATGTACCAGGTTCTGGGTGAATAGCAATAAGTTCCCAGTGCCTAGAATGAGTGTTTACTTAACCATAGCTATGATTCCCTGGAGAAACGCTTGAGGCTTGGGGATGAAGGGCAGCTATTCAGCAATAATTACTTATTTCATTCAAAACCCAGAACCCCAATAAAAGGACTTCTGACCTACCACATCCACTATGACACTTCAGTTTCCTCCAAACATAAAACAAAACTGGTTTATCTTAAAAATCTCACCTTTCACCCTACAGAATAGCCAAAGTACTGCTTTTACAAACTGAAATAATGTCAAAGATGACAGCTAAAATCTTTGAAACTAAGATCCCCCAAATTCCCAAAAATTTAGTGTAAAAGAAGCCTTTTTTTAAAAAATCATCAACTGTAGGATACTCTGTTTTGCTAAATTCTGAATGCTTCATATTATCTTCATAGTATCTCTAGGTATGTGTTAAAATTATTTTTACCTTGGAGACTTCATAAGATTTCGTTCCAGTCAAATACAATTACTTCAGGATGTATTTCAGAGTGACTCCAAATTCCCATTTGTAGCTAGGACCAACCATTTCTGCAGTCCTAAAAAATTATCTTAGCTTGGAAAACCTATTTAAAAAATAAAAAGACAGGCAGCCATTAGCATTTTAATGTTGAGATGATACAATTTTCCTGTAGTAAAATAAGTGTTTTTACAATGACATTTGTAGTTTCAGGCAAGTGGGAAACAGCCACACACATCCGTATTTGTAAAGCACTCATTAGTTCAAAGTTCTGCACTCATTAACTAGCCACATATTAGTTGAGAGAACACAGTTCTAAAGTAGAAGTTCCCTCAACTGCAAAGGCATTCAAAATTTTACAGAGGCTCCCAAACCATTCATGATGCAAAATTTCACTCTCCCATTTCATTAACCAAGGGATGGAAATGGACATCGGGGTGATCCATTCCTACGCGTTCTGCAACTTGCCCAAGCTCACCGAGCAGTGGAAAGCCAGCATGAAGATCTGAATCCCTAGCTTTGTACGATATAAACCCAAAGGTGATGCTGAACAACCTGTAACGATGGCTTTTGAAAGATGTTAATGGGAGGCAGAGGGCAACTGTCTTTCCAATATAAAACTCCATACCAAAATGCAAAGGATGCTTGGTAATACTGCAGTTAACACTTGACACGCCCCTTTAATGCACAGACCTAAATGGACCTTTCTACTCAGAAAATACATTTTTACAAAAAGGACTCAGGTGATTCCAAACAAAACACATCTCAGGAAAAAAATGGAACATGAAACTGCACCATTTTTACCATTGCTAAGTTAAATACCTCTCTCCCAGAGTTGGGGCTCAGAGAGAAATAATGTGTATCAATAAGTATTAAAGTTACAAACACAGTATGAAAATGATCATTGCAACAAAGTTTAATTACTTTAGAATCCTGTTGAACCCACCACAAATTCATCACAAAGCACAGCTGAGATTTTTCTCTTCTTTAGATGCCCCTAAAGATAATTATACATGTTTGTCTAGAGAAGACTTTAGGTAACAGACTTCAAGACCCATCATTTGGAGCTATAGGAGAGTGTGGGCCTTGAATGATTAGCTCAACAAGAGGAAAGTAGCTTTGAATATTGGATAAATATAAGGAATAAAAAAACAAAAAAACAAAAAAAGCTGGGAAGTATTCATCTCCCAGATCCTCTAATTTTATTAAGTATGTTTGTCCTGATGTCCACCCAAGGGCACAATGTGACCCTTCTCTTATTGAAAAGAAATACACAGTATAATTTATCAGAACCCATCGTAATGAACTCCCCACATACTGGAAACCAAAATGACCTTTTTTAGCTAATATTAATCTTGTTTCTTCACATAGGAAGAACCACTGGGGATTTTTTTTCAATTCATTAAAAAATGGATCCACCAGTGAAAAGAAATGTGATCTAATAGTTCGTATGCCAGAAAAGAAGCCAGGAGTTTAACGTTAAGCAGAGCAGTAACTCATTCAGTCTGCTTTTCCCAGAGTGGACCCTAGGCAGTTACATAAAAGGATTAACTCTTTCTTGTCACTTCCAAACTTTAGTACGTTCAAAAGCACTGACGACCCAGTACACGGAACCAAAAGCATTTCCTTCCAGTCCTTTCATTTCTCTCCATTGTTCCCCAACAATAGCACAGTCTTTCCTATTAGTCTGCTTCAAAAGTCATTAATTTTTAAAGAGTAACAGTGTTTTCAATGATGAAAGACATTACCCATACATAGACTAAAAACAATTTTTCAATGTGTCTACTAATTCTCAGGATAAACTAAAAAGACTCAGCATTTAGAGGGTAGGCTACACTTTTTATCTTTCTCCTTATGCGTTGGTATTATGTGGAGGCAGCCATTCTTATGACAAAAGAACAGAATGCCCATTCATGTTTGCTGGTATCAAGAAACTTTGAGGTTCCCAGGCAGAGGGGACCATTCTTCAGATGTTTATTTCTATTGTACACAAGAAAGAGCTCTGTCCACACTTATTTTTTTACCAAGGAAATATCAAGGCTTTACCTTTCTTTTTTCTTGATCTACTTGCCTTCATTATTAGTGGGGTGAATTTCCTAAGAAGTTTACTCTTTTGGAATATAGTTATTTACTTGTTATAAATAAGCACTCTCATAATATCTCTTATGTAGTTTTGCTGCACTCACCTCCTCCATACATGTCAATCTGTACGGCATCAAGTTCTCCTAATTTTTTCATTCTAAAACCCTACAGTGATGAAATATCACAGTGCCTTTTAAAATCGAAAGACACAATAACCTCAAACCTGGATCTAATCATGAGTTAAAATCATACTAAATCAAATTTGAGGGATATTCTGAAATATGTGTATTCTTAGAAAGTATCAAGGTCATGCAAAACATATACATATATGGAATTGTCCCAAATAAAAGAGAGACACGTGGCAACTAAATACAATTGTGATCCTACACTGGATCTTGGAACAGAAAAAATACACACAGAGACATTCTCAGGATGAACTGCACACACACACAAATACACATACACTTATGCACATATATACACACATATAGCTATAAAGGACATTATTGGGATAATTAATAATTCCTAAATATAGCTTGTAGATTAAATTAGTGTTGTCAACATTAAATTTCCTGATTTTGATCATTATACTGTAGTTAAGAAAGACAATGTCCTTGTTATTAAAAAAAAAATACAGCCTGAAATATTTAAGAATAAAGGGACAAATATCTCCAACTTATTTTCAAGTGATTCTGAGAAAAAAAAGATAGAGTAAGGACGGAAGGGGTAAAAAAGAGAGGAAGAGAACAATAAATGAGTGAATGAAAGAAAGAATGAGAAAACAAATGAGCAAAGTGTAAGCAATTGGTGAATCTTGATAAAGGGTATATGAGAGCTATTTGTACTATTCTTTCAACTTTTCATTAAGTCAGAAGTCATAAAAATAAGACAAATGTGTACTTAAAAGACTTCAGTTTATAAGATATTTTTAAATGATTTAGAATTTATTACCAATCCTAAACAAGAAAGCAAGTTGATAGAATGTCCTGGTTAATTCAACTCTGAGCATTTACCCAAGCCCCAGAGAAGGCTTATTTGTTTTTATTTAAAAAGCGCTTACATAATGCCTATTACAGGCCAAGCACTGTGTTAAGCACTTCAAAATATTAACTCACTTAAAAGTAAGATTTATTTATATCATGATATACAGATGAGGAAAGTAAGGCATAGAGGAGATAAGTGACTTTCCCAAGGTCCCTCAGCTAGCAAGTGGCTAAGCCAGGATTTAAATTCAAGCCATCAGGCACCAAACCCATTGTTTCAATTCTTGTGAAAATTAGGTTGTCGGAAAAGTCATGACGCATTTTTGCAATGAAAAACATAGAAAAATACATCATGACTTTTCCAACAACCCAATATTTCCTAAAAGTATCGGTCCCTTTTCATGCTTTAATAAATAGACTGAAAATAAATCTATCTTTCTTCAGGGACTCAAGACATTGACCATCAACCTGTAAATGAGAATTCTGTCTGTGGACAAATGTGTACAGGCAATTGAATAGAATTTGCTAGCAGATTCTGGCTTGGAACCTAAGATGTTTTATGTTAACCCTTAAATAAATTCTGCCTCATCTCTGAAAAGCTAATGAAAAATAGTGATTTTGATTTGCTGCAAATTTATTAAAGGCTTATGTCATTTTCCAAATTAAGACCAAACATGTAAGAATACTAAAGACCTTGAGTGCTTAAGCTGCCATTTTTCAAACAGATGGAAACAACTGCACTTCAGATCAGAACCCCTCTAAAACATTTTGGCGAAAGTACACCAGAGCCAGAACACAATACACAAAGTCGAAATTACTTCAGCTGATTTCTATGAAGGAATTCAACACTGAAACAAAAAAGAAAAGAAAAAATGATTTTTGTCTGTGCATCCACTCACTCATTTCCTGCCAAACTCCAAAATTCAGAAGCATTTTTGCAACAAAACAGTAAGACAGGTTCTCGCTTAATAACAAAAAAAAGTCCTCATGCTACAAAACAACACTGTCCTTCCTGCTTGCCCACTCACCAGGGAGGTTTCCAGGCTCCGTCTTGCATCACCTCCATAGTGGGCACGTTTGAATAATTAGCTATTTCCAGACTCACCATCACTTCACCTGACCTCCCGAGTGGGATCTGCTGGGATGACCCTGTGACTTCGGTTCTCAGCCCCTCGAGTATTAGGGCAAAAGCAGTAATAACTAACAGCTACTGATGTAAAATGTGATGCCCAGAAGAGTTTACACATTGTGGTAAATCATTTCTCCATACTAAATTCTACTCAATCAAGACAAAAATGATAGAAGTGAGAAATGTTTCATAAATTAGCAACCTGAACCTGGGGAGTAAAGAAAAGTTTTCTCAGCGGAAAAGGGGTGAAATGCTGGTCCCACTAAGTGATGTCTTGTCCAATAACTCATGGGAATTTCAAAATGCAGGTTGCCTACATAAAATAATTCATCCTTTCTTCAGACAGAAATGAGGAAAGATGTTTCCATTGCCAGTTGCTTAAATAACACAACCACATTGAACTGTCTTCTGGAAATTTTCAAACAGCTTTTCCACAAAAGTATGTAAAATGAAATATAACCTCTCTTGACAAATTTATTCTGAAACAAGACCAGTATTAATGAACTTTTTGTATTTGAGTGTGCTGACGAAAGTAAATGTATTTAGCAGATTATCGATGTTTGTGTGAATGTATTTCAAGCTGGTACATGGCTGATGCCGCCACTGAGCTATCATGTAATTATTACATGACGCATGGAATTACTGTGTAATTCAGAGCATGGTCACCATCATATTTGTTCAAATAGGCACATTTTCCTGCCAAAACGTAGTATATACATGTGACAAATTGCTTTTTTACTGCTTGCTTTAAGACATCTATGAAGAATTTACTACTGAACCATTTTAAAGCATGTTGAAAATGAGCCATTAAAGACAATAACTGTGTCTATTAAATATTAAAGAATTTTATAAATGGCATTTCAATTTCAAGTGTTACCAACACCACCTCATCTAAATTAGAAGGTAGATAAT